ATGTATGTGTATATATGCAAATACAACAAATAAGTAGATGGACTTTGGGTCTCTACTTAAATCTTACCTCTGTACAAGAATGATTTCTAATAATGGGGCACTGTATGATACCCACCTCCCTGACACAATTGTTGAAGACAAAATGGGTGCATAAGCAAAGGTGCTGAAGAAAGATGATGGTGACCGGCTATCAAAAGCTATAGCATCTGATGTCTTAAAAGCTTGGAGTTAAACAAGTGGCCATCCATCAAGGCCGTGTGATCATGAGGTGTCGACGGTAAGAGGTATCATAAATTCAAAAAACACTCATCCAAATTGATGTGAAGGGAACTGTATGTAGTGGGGACCCAAAGTCCACCAGCAAGACAATGGGACAGTCCCTCTTAGAAGGGCCTCACAGAATGTAGGATAAATCCAGAAGGTGACGTACCACTGATGAACCACATAACTATCCTCTAGTTCTTTCAAATGTCTTCCCCTGACTATTAGGATCCCTATGTGATATATATACCTCATTGGTTGTGTTGGACTAGCATATGTTCATTTGCTCATTTAAGATCACTCTGTACATGGTAGTCGATAGTTACCCCTTAGAGGCACCAACAGGAGTAAGGGTCCCTGAGGGGATAGGAAGTGGGAGGGAAGTTGACAGCATTGATGATTGTATAGCCCCACCCAAGGGGATTGAACAATGGAACTGTATGGGAAGGGAAGGGATATATTGGAATGAGTAAGATATGTCCATAAAAATATTATTCAAAAGAGAGGGAGAGAAAGGGTGGTGGGGTGGGGGTGTTGTTGTTGCCCCTGAGTCCACTCCAACTCAAAGAATGACCCCCCACGCCGTGTGTGTCAGCAGAAAACGATGCACCATTTTCAAGAGTAGATCACTGTTTAAAGCAGCACATTTGTGTTGTCTGAGGCCACACTGTTTGTGGTGATTCATTTACAGCAGCAAGCAGGTGAGGCTGTGTGAGATTGAGCACTACAGAATAGCTGAGGTTCCCCCGCAGGAAAAAGTCGAAGCAAGTTCACTCCCATTGCATCTATTCCGACTCCTAGGGACCCCATGGGGCAGGGTAGAACTGCTCCTGTGGGTTTCTCAGACTGCAGCTCTCTACGGGAGTAGAGAGCCTTGTCCATCTTCCTCACAGCAGCGGATGGCTTTGAACTGCTGACTTTTCAGTGGTGGCCCGACACATAGCCACTACACCACCAGGGTTCTCCTTGTTGAAGGCATTAAATATATCTATACATACACACACACACTCATAAAAATACACACACACAGACTGAGAAATACAGGAAAACGTGAGAAAACTTTTGAAATTTATCATTTTAAGCTTCTGTTTCATGCTTAGAAAGCCCTTCCTCATCCCAAGGGTAGCTGTTTTTCATTTTCTTCTATTTACTGCCATCTTTAAAAAAATCTGTGAAATCGCTTCAATTTTATTTTAGTACAAAGGTCAAATTAAGGATCAACTCTATTTCTGCTTTCCTATGCGGTCAGTTCCCCAAATGTCTTCCTCTCAGATGGAATACGCCACCTTTATCGCAGCACAAGTTCTCTATGCAGAAATTGCTGTAACTTCTATGGCCGGGCCTGCCTCCCAAAAGCATTCGTCAGAGCTTTACCATGCCACGGTGTCCTCCCATGTAACACCGTTTGGGGCACGTGACGAAAACACTGCTGTGTCGATGAGGACACGCCATGGATTGGAAGCGGCAGCCCAATCTCAAAGATGCTCAGGTGTGGGAATCAGGCACCTGAGGGCAACGCAGCGCAGATATGACAGGTCGGCGGGATCGCTGGTTTTCTTTTCCATGTTTCCAGATGAATGCCTGCGGACTTTTCCAAATGAACTTTGTCGTTTGAAAGTCACCGCCTTCACACACCACCCCTCACCCCCACCGCCAGCCTGAGAGAGAAGCTGGCGGCATTGGATTTCAGACAAACGACAGACTTGACGTCAAGGCTGCCTTGTGGTTGGATAGTGGGCTTCCGCCTCTGTTTTCTTCCTTGTCGCAAAGTCCTGCCGTGGTTCACCTGCCCCACACATGAATGTGCTAGCAGGCGACAGACAGACAGAGGAGAGCCATCTGGGCAGTGGTCTCTCCTTCAGAGAAAAGCCGGCGCTGTTAAAGGGTCCACAGAGAAAGGTCAACTAATTTTAAGATGATTATTTTTAAGACTGTTATTTCGAGTCACGGTCTTTCTCACGCAAAAATTTCATGGAAATAGTTTAAACCATGAAGTAAGCGTAGGTCGTCTATGGAAAGGACCCAAAGGAACAGGTGGGGGGAGGTTCCCCTGGGGAGACACGAGGTCTCCATCCAGCCATGCCCAGCCCCGCCCAGAACGTCCGGGTTTATGCACCAGAGAGCACCACCTGAAACCAGACACCCCCCCAACCCCCCCACCGACTGCCCAGGCATGTCCAACCCAGAGGCCCAAATAGGGCCATGTCAGTGTGCAGTGACCAGCACTCCTGGGAACAAGACCATGTGGCCATGGCCAACCCCTGCTTGGGGGCACCACTGGCCCTCAGAGAATGCCAGGGGCCGGGGGCGGGGTAAGGGGGCCGGGAGGGCACACATTCTAGGACCACGAGGAAGAGGTCAGCGGACTGAGCTGAGGAGTGGAGTGGGGGCAGGATGGGGGCGAGCATGAGCGAGTGGGAGTCCACAGAAAGATGTACGTATGAGAACCGGCAGGGCTGAGGTGACAGGGCCACCCTGTTAGGAAGGCTGGGCCCTTGGCCTGTAGGCTCTATTGTGTTGGAGAAAATAAACACAGGTTCCACACTCACTGAGGCTGAGTACAACAGCCCCCTCTCCGGGAGAGGGTGGGCTTCCAACGCAGTCCTTTATGGTGGAAAGCTACTGCCACGTCTTTCTCTGGCACCACAACCAACCAGGCGCCATTCGGTTAGCAGCAGTGCTTATACTTTCAGCACTGCCTTAGATGTTACCAAGCAGTTGGTTCTGACCCCATAGCGATGCTGTGCACAGCAAAACACAGCAATGCCCGGTCCTGCACCATCCTCACAACTGTCCCCCAACCCGAGCCCTCACTGCAGCCACGGTGTCAACCCGTCTCCTTGAGGGCATCAGACAGGGTGGTATAATGCAGTCTAACCTGAACCAGCAGCAGCTGACAGTGGGGGAGCCCAGGGAGGGACAGGAGGCAGAAACTGCCAGGCCAGCAGGAGACAGTCAGGAACATGGACAGGTCTCACTGGGTCATCTGGACAGGGTATGGCCACTCTTCAGGATGGGTCAGGAGATGCATGGGTGGACCTGCTAGGCCTACGAGTGCCACACCGCACAAATGGGGGCCGTGTGTGTGCAGGAAAGTGTCCCACTGCCCAGGTGGCGTGTGGAGGTTCGGCGGGACAAGGGGTGCTTTGAGAGACCTCAGCTCCAGAAAGATGGTGTTTATAAGTAGAGGCCGGCTGGCCGGCCAGGCACATGGGGATAAGGTGGTGTGGCCACACAGAGGGGCTCCAGGAATCAGCCTGAGGCCAGGCACCGCAGACGGGGTCTCAGAGGAGGGTGGGTGCAACCAGCTGCAGAGGCAGAGGGGTGCATGGATGGTGGGAAGACCTAGGGGCCTGGGGAACCCCTGGTGGTGAGGAGGTAAGAGGTATGGGCCCTGATGGAGGCCCGGGCAAGGCAAAGATGAGCACACCTGCTCACAGCCCAGGCTGGGGGGAGGGGTGGGGGTGACTGCGGGGAGGGGAGTAGAGCCCCCGGGCTACCTGCTTTGGGTTCAATGGTAGGAGAGGCCAGCTTGTGACAAGCCCCAGGGGGAGAGCCGGAGGTGCAGGAGGCATGGAAAGCTCTCACAGACGGAGGGGCGGCCTTCCTCCAGCTGGTTTGTCTTCCACGGGGCCAGGGTGGACTGGTAAGGATGCCAGGGGTGGGCCCTGAACCCTTCCGCATTTCTGAATGCTCCTCTAAGGGGTGGATTTCATCAAAACCAAACCTGCGGTCACAGGCTCCTAGCCGTGTGCACCCCGGCGGGCCATTAGGGGGCAGTGCAGGCTGCGGGATCGGACAGCAGCCCCAGGTTGAGTTGGTGCTGTGTACCAGGCTGAGGGTACACGCAGCAGGTGCGCCATCCTGCAATGTGGTGCGAGTTAATCTGGGTCCGGCCCAAACGAACAGTGTCTCCGAATGCCCCTAAAAGGCCCAACCCTAAGGCCACAGGCTCCCAAGGACGTCATCTTTACCAAGGACCACCTTTCTCCTGCAGAGCGGGGGTGGACTCACACAGCCACGCTCTGGCTCCACAGCGGAGCACTGGACCGCTGCGCTCCCTGGACGCGTTCTCCGATGTTCTAGAATGGGGCTGGGCAAACTTTTGAGGTGAAGAGCCAGTCTTGTGCCTCACAATTTAACAATTAGATGCAAGAGCCATAACTGTATTTCTGCAAATAAAGGAAATCCCTCACCATTATCTGAATCTCCATTATCTGAAAAGACTCCAGAGCACATGGAGGTACCGAAATAGCCGCACTTTGTGGAAACGAGCCGGAACTACCTCAGCCAGGTACACTGTTCGGTCTTGCTCCTGTCCGCTCGGGACACGCCTTTTCGCTTCTTCCCTCAAGTGTAAGGCAAGGGGACCCCAAAAGCCCACAGAGATGGGGAGATTCTAGACCAACAGTCAACCCCCCTCCCGATGCCCCCATGGTTTCCTTCAGTAGTCACCAGACAGCCCTGAGCTTGCGGACAGCAGCCTGTGGGTCTTTGGACACACTCATGGCTGAGACAGGGCTCCGAGTTCTGGAAAATAACTTTGAAACTCCACCTGGGCAGCTGCCTCCACTGTCGAACAGAGGGAACCAGCCCCCCGCCCCGGGACCCCCCCCCCCAGGCTGAACTTAAGAGTCTGACTGCATGTCAATCAAGTTCAAGGTTGAGCAAACAGCCTGAGAACGAATACAGACAAAGCCGAGTGAAGAGTGGGACGTTGCACCAGAAGCGAAAATAAGTGGGCTGCACTCTGGTATAATTCACCCCCCTCCCAAATAAACAGCTTTGTTTTACAAGACAGGCAGTCTCCAGGTGACAGATGAGGTCTAGTCCCCGCTCTCTTGGGAACTGGTCGGCAGAGCAGGTGCAGGCAGTGGGAAGGAGAAGAGGCTCGGCGGCGGTTTCACGGCGGCGCGTGCAGCCAGTGGCAGTGGCTGTGGTGGGGAATTTGTGGAGTGGCAGCAGAGGTTGGCTTAAGCACTTCAAAGAGAGGGCAAGTTGCCCAACCTTGGCAACAGGGCTGCCCGGCCCAAAGATGGCGCCCCATGGCACAGCTTTGAATTTGCGTGGCTCTCCGAGTCCCGCCAAGAATCTAGTCTAAACCCTCAGGCTCCTGAAAGGGTTCTCCACGCCTCTTCTGAGTCTCCCATTCCAAAGCTCCCCTGCATGACTTCTCCTGTCCTTTTCGGTTACCCTAACACGTCGCCCAAACGTGAACACTCTGAGCTGCTCCATTTCTCTCCTCAATCCCCCTGGCACCGGCCGTCTGCCCTGCCACAGGGGCAGAGGCGCTGTGAGCCCTAGGGGCTGTTGCCTGTACTCCTCAAAACGTCACCCACACACAGGATGGGGACTCTCCCAAACTTCACTTTTTTCCCTTTACTAAACCTAAGGCTACGTCTCAGGAATTCCCCTTGGCCTCTTGGCCCTATTTTCTCTCCTTGACGTCATTTGCTTGTTCTCATTTGGTGTCCAGAACCAGCCCTTCAGAAGGCACCCTGGAGGGCCGGCTGGGCTCGGCTCCCCAGAGGCAGGGACTTCACCCGAGTCACTCAGAGGAAGAAGACTGCTGCTGGCTGGATCACAGGCACCACAGCAGGCCCCCCGGGCCTTCTTTACATTGAGACTATGTACAGAGTTGGGAGTTCGAAGCAGGAAGCCCTGCAGTACCACGCCATCTGCAGACTGGATCAGGATGACACAAATCGGCGGTGGTGGGGGACCATGCTGTCATCAGGCTCTGGGTCTACCGAGCAGAAAGGCCACCACGGCCCACGTGGTGATGATGCCACAGATCCTGCAAGGCAAGGACACAGGTCAGAGAGCCCTGGCGGTTGTACAAGCTGGCATGGCGCCCACTCTGTTGCCCTGATGTGGTTTCCTCCCAGTGCCGACACCCAACGCCCCCTCCAAGTGGCTCTGTGATGCAGACCAGCCAGCTGTTTCCCCTAGGGGCTGACAGATGCTGCCCATACAAGGTACAGGCAGTGAGTGCCTGGGCCCACCACCCGTTTTCCAACAGCAGCATTTTCACTCAGTGATGGCTCTCAGCAGCCAGCCCAAGCCCTCCTCGCGCTTAATCAACGGCTCTGCCATTTTCCTCTGCTTGGGCAAAAAAGCAAACAAAAAGACAGAATTCACGCCTAGCCCTGGATCCAATCCGTCCCTCGCCCCACTTCTCACCACACCCACTGTGCTGGCTGTCCTAAGCCGGCTTTGTCCCGCTGTAGAAATGCGCATCAGATCCCTGTCTCTTTCAAACCTCCCCAGAATTCCCACAGGAGCCCTGGTGGCTTTGTGGTTTACACATCAGGCTGCAGTTCAAAGGCACCAGCCTCGAAACCTCGAGGGAGAAAGACGGGGCTTTCTCCTCCCTTGTATCAAAACTTACAGTCTCCGAAACCCACAGGCTTTCTACAGGGTTTTGAACTGCGGATCGTGTTTGTGGTCCACCGCTCAACACAGCCCGTTATGCCTAGACGGTCGCTAGGAGTCGGCGTTCACTTGCTGGCAGCGAGTTTGGCTTGATAATGCCCAGGTTTCTCCCTGGGGGCTGTGGGGGAGGGGGCAGCCTGCCACCCTTACACAGCCTGGCCCTGACTGTGGGCTGCTGCCCGGCCCGCCTCTGCTTGCTGCTCTTCCAGGCACAGATCCTCCTGCTTCCCCCGATGTAGTATTAAATTTAAAAAATTGGCACTGGGGGCGGGGGTGAAGGGCCAGCCCCCCACCCACTGCTACACCTATTACTTCTTCTCGGATTCAGTAATGCTACTTCTGGGTTCAGTAATGCACAATTGTATGGTTGAGATATATAAGTATTATATTAGAGTCATCGAGAGCATGAGAGATATTACAATAATACAATCAGACACGTTACATGGCAACATTGCTCACCTCAGCCCAGCTTAGTGGTCCACGTGGAGAGAGGGGGAAGGGAAGGAGGGAAAGGGAACAAGGGAGAGGGGGAAGAGAGTCAGGGTGGTCAGAGTCCGAGGGGTACGAGTCCAAGAGCTCTATATTGCTGACTCGCGCCTATATAACTTTTGGGGACATGCCGGCCCACTAATTACAGGTAGAGATGTACGTCACAGGAAGGGGTTATACTATAGGGCACCCAGTAATGAGAGGGTGGTCTAGGGGGTGGTCTCTGGGTCTCCATAGGAACCAAGCTAATGGTCCCAAGCTTCAGAGAAGTAATCCATTGTCTTCAGCAGCAGGGAGCAAGCCCAGTGCAGTCTGGCAACTTATCGCCCTCAGGGAGGGGGGAATGCCTGCACATCTGACGTCCCCCAACACCCCGAGGCACCCGCCAATGTCCCATGGGGGGCCTTTGTCCACCTGGAAGTGCGCGTGTCCCCCAGGTGCCCCTCGGTGATTCCCATCCTCACCACCTTCAAGTCTTTGCTCAGGCCTCCCCTCTTTAGCGAGGGCCACCAATTGTCCCCTCTGCATCATGACTCCCCAACCCTCCCACTGCCCCACTCCGAGGGGCTGCTCTAGCATTTAACTAGCCACTTAGGACACCAGCTCCCAAGTGGGCACCACCTCTCAGCGCCATGTGTGTTGGGGCAGCATTGCTCCGGGGGGGATCAAAGGCCGAGGCTTTTTGGAAGTGGACCGCCCGACCTTTCTTCTGAGGTTCAAACTGCCAACCTGAGATGCCAAGCACTTACTGCCCATCTCCGTTCCCGGGAACACCTGCCACCCCACATACAGCACGAGCCACTGCTCGCCCAAGAGCAGGCGGCCTCCTCCCACGGCCACGGGCATGGGCACACCTCGTTCCCAGGGCCTCACAGAGATGCTCACACTGCCTTTTTGACAAGTTGGAGGTATGTGGCGCGTGGGAACCCGGTTCAGCCACGTCTGTCCGCATCGTTTGTCCCAACTCTGCATCTGTGTTACCCTTTGGTCATTCTCGCAGTACCCCACGCTTTCACACCGCTCCTGCACAACCAGTGGCACTCGGCACAGCGCCGCCTTCACAACTCTGTGGCCTGGGAAACGCGGGGCGGGGGTATGTTCGCATCAACCCACCACACTTCCAGGGTCTGCCTCTCAGTTCCCAGGTGGCCTGGTGGCCTAACGGGCTGTGTGTTGGGCAGTGGACCACAAACAAGATCAGCAGTTCAAAATCACGAGCCACTGCTCAGAAGAGGAGACTCTCTCCTCTGGGGAAGAGTGACCGTCTCAGAAACCCACAGGGGCAGCTCGGCCCTGTCCTGTAGGGTTGCTGTGTCAGAACAGACTGGACAGACTGAGAAATGCCTCTAAATCCCTAGCACAGTGGCAGCCATGGCCATGGCTCAGAGGACGCTGGAGAAAGAATGCTGCGGGACACAGCTACCCGGCCTCGCCAGTACCTTTAAACACACACCACCACCACCACCACCACCACCACCACCACCCCAAGCCGGTCAGCACGGCTCAACTGAGACCCAGTGGAAATGCAGAGCCTCCCCTCCTGCGCGGATACCTACTGCAGTAAGCAGTTGATGTTTGGTGAGTGTCTCCAGTGCCGATACAGGGACACCTTGAGGTCGGGATGATGTCGGTATTCCTTCAAGATGCTCCGAGCACTGCCAACAGAGGTGTTCTTGGGTCAGTAGAGCACAGTGTGACTCAACCTACTGCCCCCCTGAGGCCCCAAGTGGAAAAAGGCACGGGAGGGGGTGGGAGGGCGGGGGCGGGCAGGGGGCAGGGATGGCAGTGAGGAGAGGTGGGCTGAGCACCGAGGCACCCACTCCTTAAACTTGTTGGTCAGGAGCAGGAACTTGTTCCGCGTGAAGCGCCTCACGTCGAACTTGCAGAGGGTCTGAAACTCCCAGTAGATCTGCTGCTCGTTGACCCCCGGCCACCTCTTGACACAGAGCATGAGGATCGGCGGTCGGATACTGGGATGGTCCGGACCAGAAAAATTCTGGAAAATACAGAGAACTGGAGGGATTCCTTGGGATTCCCACCAACACCTTGTTGATCCGAGGGTCCTGACAGTTCTGGGAAAGGGTCTCCGTGAGGAGGCGGGGGCTGGAGAGGAGGGGTCCCAGGAGAAAGACACAGAAGAGTCACAGGCACCAGCCTGGGGAGGCCCCCATGCATACCTCAGAGAAAGACCCTCAGCCCTGCCTCCTGTCCCCCAAGCCTCCACAGAGAGTCCATAAGAAACAGAGACTCTACTCACGATTTTAGGGACCCCGGCTCGGATAAGATTCACTTGGTTGACGTAAGGGGTCAGCACTTCCAGGTACAGGGGGAAGGAGGGTGCTGGGGTGGAATCGCTGTGACAGGCACAGAAAGCAAGGCCCCAGCTCTCAGATCCTCGGGTCTGCTCACCGCCGCCGGGTCAGAGAGCAGGATGCCAACTCCCACATTGCTGCCTGGCTCCAACCCCGAGCTACATCAGCGTGGTTCCCCCAGCTCACAGCTTCAAGATCCTGCCCAATGGCCCAAGCAAGAGCAGACTTTACAGGGGATCAGAGCCTGCTGGTGACAGCTCGCTGCAGGTCCCTCTACAGACCAACAGAGCGAGCGGCAGGCTCTGTGCATGCGAGGCCACCCGTGATGTCATGCCACCACCTCCCTCACCCCTTCCTGAGCCTGGCCCCATGATGAAGAGACGCCTTCATGCTCCACACCCCCACTTCCTGGGGTAGCCCCGGGGCTGCAGGGCTTACACCAAGGGCCCACGGGGTCCTGAGTGAGGGCTGCACAGGGTGAAGGGAAACAGCGCTTACCCATAGGCTCTCTGTAGGAGCAAATGAGCCACTTTCAAAAGCACTAGAAAAGAAAGTTCGAGATGAAACCAAACATACACCCTCCTGGCTCATTTCCGGGCCACCTGGAGAAACACGCTCCCGGGCGCTGGTCACAGACCCAAAGAGAGTCCTCTCCACGGCCGGTGATGGTGAGCATCAGAACCGAGAAAACGGTCCAAACGGGCTGTGGGGGTGACAGCACCGCCCGCCTGACGGGACTCCGCTCCTGAACTGTATACGTGCGTCATGGGCCATAAAAAACATTGGAGAAAAAAGGTACTAACGGGACTTCTTGGGACAAAAACAGCAGCCCTTACCTGAGCCACAGAGGAAGGCGTCGTAGGCAGCTTCATGGGGATACTTGGTCTCGACTGAAACATCCAGAAAGAGGAGAGAGAATACTGAGCCTTGATAAGGGCACAGCCTGGGGAGGGAAGTGTGTCTACTGAAGCACGCCCACTGTCTCTCCACACCCTGGGCACCCAACTCGACCTGGGTGCTCTCCCAGGGCTGTGAGAGGGACTGGACCCCCGGCCGTGGAGGGGGAAGCACACTGTTTCCCGGTCGCTCCACGTGAGGTGGGTTGTGTGGTGCACAGTTAAGGGCCCGGCTCCTCACTGGAAAACTGGCAGTTCCGAGTCCCCCGGGGCTCCCGCAGGACAACTCACAAAGCTCACGGCCATCGAGCCGACCTGGACCCAGGGCCACCCTATAGTACTGACCTAGAACTCCGCATTGGTAACTCGAGGTGACTTAGAAACGTTTGCAGAAAATGGAATCCAACGATAGTGGGATTTGTCCACAGCATGCTTGAAGCCCCCTCATACGACAGCCAGGAAAGCTCTACTGGGCAGCTCTGCTATGCCACGTGGGTTGGTATGAATCCGAACCAGCTCGGTGGCCCATCAAGTCAAGGCTGGAGCATGAGCCCCCACGGGCCTCCCTCCACTTGCTGCGCAGTGAGAGCCGGGCTCAGGACGGTCACAGCTGCCGCCCTGGCATGGCATGACCACCAAGAGAAGACCTGGGTCCAACGGGCACGTACCGTACTTTGTACACTTCCTCGAGTGAACAATCACGGGGCCGGAATTCCTCGTGGGATTGCAGTCGCTGGTGGGAGAGAGAAAACGGGTAAAGAACAACTCTTCTAGAGACGGTGCTCGCTAGGGTCCCATCCCTTAAGTCACTATCAATGAAAACATGTCTGCAGTCCTGGGCGCCTTTGAGAACAGACGCAGACAAGTGGGCAGGGGCAGAACCAGGGTTCTTTCCACCGTCCTCTTGCCCCCTCAGCATGTGACCTTGCACTGAGCCTGCCACTCATGTTGGTCGGCAGAGGGCCGCCAGCAAGCGGTCACCAGCAGGCCCTGATCCCGTGTCAAGCTCTGCTCTTGCTTGGGCCATTGGGAAGGATCCTGAAGCTGTGAGCTGGGGGGACCCTAGTTCAAGAGGCTCTGAAGAAAGCAGCTGGGATGCTTGTCAAGCACTGAGCACCATGATAAACTGCCCACCGTCCCTGCCCTCGGGCACCTAGTATCCTCCGTGTAACTACCACAGGCACAAGGCTGACTGCTTCTTTGAGCCCCAGTGCATGCTGGGACGCTTCAGCCTTCAGGATGCAGGGAAGATGCTTCCTAAAGCAGCTTGTACTCGGGGGGCCCAGAGCTGGGGGGCTGACATGAGAGCTGGGGAAGAGTCAGGGATTTCAAACTGAGAGGAGAGAACCGAGGCTCCCAAGAAGGGAAAGCTCAGCCAAAGCACTAGGCAGAAGACAGGCCCAGGCGGGAAGGGCCCGGAGGACGCGTGGAGGTTTCTGGAGCCACTGGCAGAACTGAAGCAGAAAAACAGAACTCATACTTGGCATGATTGCTGGTGGCAGTTGAGACATGAAGCACTAGAGGAGACATAACAGACTGCCTCAACTGAGCCAACCACCCCGGGGGCACTGAGGGAGGGCAGGTCTGAACCCCAGGGCACCGAGAGAGGGCAGGTGCTATGTTTCGTCTCCCGTACTCTGGCCATACTGTCTGCAGGGACCAGTCCCCGGAGGATGTCATGCTTGGTAAAGTAGAGGGGTGATGACAAAGAGGAAGGCCCTCAGCAAGATGGACAGACACAGTGGCTGGGGGTGGGGGTGGGGGTGGGGGTGGGGGTGGTGTGTGTGTGTTAGTCACAGCATCTAGCAGCAAGGAGATCTTCGTGTGTGTGTGTGTGTGTGTGTGTGTGTGTGTGTGTGTCAGTCACAGCATCTAGCAGCAAGGAGATCTTCATGTGTTTGCTGCCAAACCTGTTAGTGTCTGCACTGTGCTCAACCTCTCTGAGCCTGAATTGTGGCCGCTACATCATTTGGTGTCAACTTGAAGATATGAAAGTGTCGGGGTGGAGTCTAGCCTGTCAGTCGGGTCACAGCCTCGTGGCGCTTCTTTGTGGGCCTGACCTTCTCATACAGAGGGTCCTGAGAATGAATCAATCAATCTCAATCTCTCTCTCCTCCACCCCCACCCCCACTCTCTGCCTCCACCTTCATTCCGGCCAGCCACACTGAGACTTGCCCGAGCCCTGTGATGGGGCCACCATCATGGGATCCACACAACTCTGCACCCACTGGCCTGCGGTCTTCCTGCATCCTGCATCCTTGCATGTCACCGCGTGAGTCTGAAGAGGGATTTACGGACTGGTATCGGACTTATGGACTTGAGTTGGGCTGGGCTACTTTATGGATGCACGGTTACTTCTTACACAGAGATGAGTGTGTCTGGACCTGTTTCTCTGGTCAGCCCGGCCTAACACGTCTGCGAGCCAGGCCCCGTCATTCTTCCCACATCATGAGGGCGCTGTTTGGCACTGTTGTCATCGGCACGGGACCACCGGCTAACACCGCACGCGCTACCAAAAGGAAGGCACCCTTCAGGGTGGCTGTGCATGTCCAGGCACACCGCAGACAGCGTGCACCGGTTTGCTTTCAACCCACCGCGATGAAGAGAAGGCGGTAATGCACCGAGCCGCACGGTTTGGGGATTCCCGGTGGGGAATATAAAAGTTAGGTTTACAGTATGCTGGTTCATTAAGGGTGCAGAGATTTGTGAAAAAGTTTGAAAGCGTGAGCATTTCTACCATGTAACGCAGATACAAAGTGACTGTACTATTGGGAAAATGCACAGGTAGAGTTATTTGACTGCAATGTAGTTAATTACTTAACCGTAGTCTTAGCCTTTGTTACTCCCACAAAATGACCTTCCTTTTCCTGATGGGTCTGGGTGAGGGGTGGAGGTTGTGGAGGTTGTGGGGGTGGGGATACTGATTATGATTCAGCTGTGAGTGATGGTTACCATGGTTACTAGTAACTGCCACCCTACTGGGTACCATCTCAGAAGTGTGCGTGGGGGTGGGGGTGGTGAGATCCTCGCTACCCACGAGAAGAGGCAGTAGTAAAGCACGTCCTTTGGACCCTGAGATCCCTGTGCTCTGACGGCTGAAGCGTGGCCGGGGAGGAGCAGCAGCCTGAGACAGCCGTGGACTTCGCAGTGCACAGAGCAGGCAACGCTGAGTGCTGTGGGGCAGGCGGCTGGTTGAGCTGAGTGGGGTACTTCTAGGAGCTGGGCTCACTGACTCATGGAGTCTTCTCGCTGAGGTTTATGGAGGAGCAGCATGCCCTTTGGGCATTTATTGGCAGCCCCAAAAGACCTTGTAACATTGCCGGAGCAGAGCAGAGGCCACACCAAGAAGCTGAGGGCCAGAGAGAGGCCTGCCTGCGGGCACGGCAGAGAAGAAACTGTCCCAAGTGAACAACTGTATCTTCAGCATTTCTCACCTCACCTGTAACCTGCTAAACTTCCCTAATCAGCCCAGAATCTGTTCTGTGTGGTCAGCACAGGGAGTTCATGGAGCCAGTTCAAAAGCAGAGTATGCTGTGGAAACAGGGCAAGACAAGCAGAGCGTGCTCCCGGAGGTGGAGCAGGGGGCAGGGGCTCACCTGAGAAGCACAATACAGCAAAGCGCAAACAGGGTATGTCTGTATTAACCCGTTTAAGGCTTGCAGCAACCTGGTGAGTCACGTGCCACTATTTTCTCCCACGATCCACTTTGAGGCAGGCAGATTATGCAATTTTCCCCAAGTTATTTCTAAGGCCAAACTAAAAAAAACAAAACAAACTGCCATCCGGTTAGTTCCGACTCAGTGCAGCCTACCCAGGATGCCCAGGACTGTCAATCTTCACGGAGCAGATGCCCTGTCTGTCCCCCAGAGCAGCTGGCGGGTGTGAACTGCCGGACACCAGCCCACAGCCCCACCGGGCACCCTTCGTAAGGCTATGAACAGCAAAGCAGGGTTTAAACCCACAGCCCGTGCATTTCCCTCGTCCGTCCCTCCGTCTGTCTCTCTGTCACACTCACACACACACACACACACACAGCGTCTTTCACCCTCTCCCGTTCACTGGCACACAGCCCCCCTCTCTCATACCACCCCCCCTGAGTGTAGTCTCTCACAGTCTCTTAAACACACTGCCTTCTTGGTCTCCCTCCCTGTCTCTGTCTCACAGTCTGAGTCTCTTTCCCCCACAACCTCCCTCTCTGGTAGTCTCCCCCTCATATGCGGGCTCTCGATCACACACACACTGTCAACACAGGCGCACAGAGCCTCTCTCCTGCAATCTCCCCTCCCTCAGACACACACACACACACACACACACACACCGTGCCTCTGCCTCTCCTCCCAATGTGTCTGTCTGTCTCCCTCTCTCTCCCTCACACACAGTTTCTCTCAGTCCCTCGATTGGTCTCACAGTCTCATCTATCAGCCACACATACTCTCCCTCTTACATTCAGTCTACCCCCCATAAAACACACACACACACCCACACACACATCTCTCACTACACCATCTCACGAGCCTCTCAATATACAGTCTGTCTCTCACAAAGCTTCTCTAACCAAAACTCACACCCACACCACGCACACCCCCTCCGCAGAGTGTCTGGCACGGTAAAAACTTAAGAGCTACTGTCGTCCGGAGCACAGCGCTGGCTTTGAGGAACGGGGAAGGTGCCCGTGGGGCTAGTGGGTCAGGGACAATCAGTGGCCTAGAGGTCCCGGGCTGGCCAGGTCTGAATGAGGTCGCACGCAGCGGCGGGGGTGGGGTGGGGGTGGGGGGAGGTCAGGCAGAGAGAGGCGGAGGGAGTGGAGAAGAGCACTGAGGACCGGCCTGCGGGGACATTTTGGGGAGGACAAACACAGGAGCCCACAAGGAACGGGCTTTCGAAGAGCAAAAAGCCCCACCCGAAAACGAGCAATCTAGAGAGAGCGTTACAACAGACACCCAGGCGTGTGGGGAGGAGAGGCCAGCAGTGTGGGCAACCACAGTGGACAGGCAAGAGGACTCCAGGGCACAGCAAAGGCACCACGTCCCGGCCAGGCTGTCATCCCATCCAAATGACAGAGACCTCTCCATGGGGTGACCTCCCAGGACGGGGCGGAGAACAGAGGGCGGCAGGGGATGAGGCCACTGAAGAGGCCGGCAGGGCGGGGAAGAGCACACGCGGCAGAGGCGGCAGGGAGCACCGGGTCCAGCGGGAGGACTGGTCACCTTTTCTCCGTTAGGATGTGCTCCTTGACGCCGAGGGAGAGATGCTCACAGAGTGGGCAAGGGGCTGGGGAGCCAGCTGTGTCCTCGGAGGGCCACCCTTGCTCACAGCCAGTCAAGGGTTTTGAGACGAGAGGGAGAAAAAGATGGCAACAGTGCTGCCGAGGAGCTGAGGGGGGACGCAGAGGGGGGAGCGCCTGCCTTCGGCCTTAGTGTCATTTAGAGAAGGGGAGGTCTGATGGCCGCCTGAGGCGGGGTCCTGACTCTGGTGGTCAAGAGAAGACGAGGGGTCCAAAATGACTCGGGGGAAGGGCCCATTAGAACACGCATGCTGAGCAGCAGCACCAAGCAGCGCCCACGTGGACACGCAGCCAACAAGGCCGCAGAACCCAGGGCGTGCTGGGCATCTATTTTCAGGCGACACGTCCTCGCATCAGCAACACAGCTCAAACCAGCCAGCTGAGCCGAGGTTGCTTTGCTTCAGATGCCTCAATGCCAAGTGACACCCAGTTTCACCAGGACCCCTGCCCTGGCAACAGAATCTACCAACCTCAATACCACCGCCTCTTACCCAGAAGCAGGAGACTGCCATCCACAGCCCCACAGCCTTGGGGACAAGCGCAGACACCCCGGGCAACGCCCTGATGGGGAAGCCACGCGTCAGAAGCAGCTCCCAAACCAGGCTTCCTCACCTGTTAAGGACGTCATAGACTTCTGAAAGATTCGAAACCCTTGGGAAATTCAGTTCCTACCGGAAAGAAATCAGGAAGAATAAAAACATTTGCATTATTATCCGATTCAAGTGTCATTGAATGTTCCTTGGAATGACCTGGAAAATGCCAATCTTCATTCCTTAATTATGCTCTCGGGATTGCTAATATCCCTGGGTCTCCCTAAGGGACAAACATAACCCAAGGGGGGTGGGGCGGGGACAATAACACACTATGACCTACCTACACACACACACACACACACACACACACACACCCCAACTCATGGCCTCTTCAAAGCAGGTGTAGTGGGCAGTATGAAAAGTATGGAGCAGTATGATCTGTGCATTAAATCCCAACTGCTACTACTAACAATAAAGATCTACGGAGCAATGACAGGTTTAAACCCTCCAAGTTCAGCGCCATCTCGCTGGGAAGCAGCACAGGTCAGTTCCGACAGACTAGGCCCAAATCCTTCCCACTGCATCCGGGGATGTCCGCAGACTGGCAGCATCGTGGGATGCCGTCCTCACTGAACGCACATCAAGTCCAAACAGCAGACGCCTCGGTGGATCGGAATGTACCAGGTACCACTCCAGTTCGGTGGCTCCCTTCCTGAATGGTGAACCATCTGACTCCCTTTCCAGGGATTTGCGAGTATTTAAGAGGTGTGTGTATATCAAGCTCCAGGACTCCGACCAGGGGGAGCACCAGGAGGAGGGCAGCCAAGGATGGGGGCGGGGTACTTCAAAAAAGGGGCGGGG